TTCATTTATAAGTTTTCAGATGATCTACAAAAGTACATATCAGATGTTGTTTCAGTCAAGTTTTCAAGCTCATGCAGTAAAAACTTTACTGAACATGGCCACGAATGTGGAGGTTTACATTGGCCTTTGGTGTTGCCATCTGAAGTAGTTTTGGCTGGTCGAGTCCTGGCGAAGTATATTGAGCAACAAAGGCCTTCCAGCCTAAATCTCAGCCTTCGAGGACTTTGGGTATTTTCTCATTCTTTTGCTTTAATTTGCTGTTTCAGATTCTATCCTATGTGCTTCTTAATATGACAGCTGCCGACATTTACTTAGGATCTTTGTCACAACTATGCTCAACTCCCTCCAGAAAGCAAATTGGAGTTCCATGTATATTCGATTGTGTTGATGCAGTGCCTTCAGCATTCTTATGGCTCCGAATTTGCTATTAGTGGAGAGACTATTGCTCAAGTATGATTCTTTCTGACTTGTAAATTCTGATATTGAGTGTTACTTGATGATGTGCATAACATTTGAGATGATGGAAAGTTGGATTTTCAGATGCTTGATTCTCGATTCTTCTGATGCTTTCTCCTTTAATGTATTCTTTCTCAAATGCAGCTTGTTATACTTCTATCTCAAATCAGGGTTAATTCCATGGCTATTGTCCGGATGACATCCTTTCATGCCATTGGTTCTTTGAGACAGCATCCAGAATTTTCTCCAGCTGCAGATGCTTCAACAATTTCAATGAAGCAGGTTTGTAGTACATTCTTGTTATTCCTTTTTAAGGGCACTATTTTTATTTGATACTAATTAAGTAGACAGTAACTTCAACAACTAAGATGGTTTGCTGTATTGTAAACTAAGTCTGTCCTGTTTGACAATGAGTATGTTGACATTGAAAACAGATTATCGAAATAGAATGTTTCTGAACCATTGTGTTTCTTTTTCAGCATCATTGAGTTGCATAATGTGGCCACATTATAAGCTATATATAGTCCTTTCTTTGTTCACTGTGCACATTGCCCTTTTTATCCTTATAACACTTGGATATGTGGGCCAAGGAGTGAACTGCAAGAAGAAAATAATGTGTATGCTGGAGTTGCTCTGCTATAAGGAGAATTGTGCATTTTCATTTTGCATAAAATATTCCATTTTTTTTAACTGTTTTGGAGTTCTGCTGAGATGTTAGAAGTAGTTAAGGACCAAAATTCTAGACTCCTCAGTTCTTAGAAATTAGAATCTGTGTACAAATTTTGACTCCTATCTGAACTTGTACACAAATATCGTGGATTACATTTGGAATGTTTGAAAGTTCCCAATTTTTTAAGTTGGTCCCTACTTGCTTGAAATACTGCAGTTCTCTTTGTGACTTGATGTTTGCCTATGTTGATGTCTCGGTGGTCTTTTAGAAATTGCCTTGGCTATGTCTAAATATCAGTTTATATAATCAGACAGCTCCAAGTAGAAAGTAAATGGAAACCTAATCTAAGAGAAAGTTGCGTATTGGTACCTCATGAAGAGTGAGTTTTTGCTAGTGATGTAAGTCAATATGTGTGAGTTCTCCTGAATCTCTTGCTAGTCTTGATTTCACCTTATGCAACAGGTGAAGTTTTTGCAGAATATCTTTGCATTCTAAATGTTCACACGTGGCACTTTTACACCCTTAGACTTTCTTGGTGCACAAGTTGCCTTTTTGACTTCACGGGATTGTACACTTGGGATTCTGTTTCTGGGAGTGGTTTTCCATTCATCACAGCTTGAATTTGATGTTAGTGTCTGGGCAAGGGAGATTCTTTATTCAAGTCATTATTGCCATTTAGAGTAATCTTACTGCTTTTGTAGATGATAAATTTTTAAATTTTGCAAATTTTGTCGTACATTGAAAAAATTCTCCATGAGAAAGCATTAGATTATCCTTATCATGTCTCTGCAATGAGCGTCATGTTTATTATTGACTGACAAACACTTTTCTCTGACATTATTCCGCAGATGAAAGTGGGTCAGGCAGTTTATTTAGCTGGGAGTATGTTTAACCATTCTTGCCAGCCAAACATTCATGCATATTTTGTTTCACGCACTCTTTATGTGAGAGCTACAGAATTCGTGGCAAGGGGATCTGAGCTTGAGCTGTCTTATGGTCCACAGGTACAGTCCACAGGATCTGAGCTTGATCTCTTTTTTGCTTCTTTAGGTTAAGAATTTTTGTAATATTATACTGTTGAATCTATGATGATTGTGAAGGTTATTGCCAGAAATATGTTAGTAGTCATAGCTAAATTATGAGCATGACATATGCCTCGAGTTGCCTGGTTTATTTGCAACTTTAAGTAGTCTTCTTGTTGTATCTCTGTTCTCTTTCTCCTCATATCATGATGTTCTCTCTTAATGCAAGTTGTTGATTATCTGGCTTGGGCCATTTCATGATGCTACAATTGCATGTTGTCATTCTTTTTGTTGTTCATCAGGTAGGACAGTTGGACTGCAAGGACCGCCAACAATTTTTGGAGGATCATTACTCATTTAGTTGCAAGTGTAGTGGTTGCTCACAACTGAATCTATCTGACCTTGTTCTTAATTCTTATCAGTGTGTCAAAATGAATTGTTATGGGGTAGTCCTAGACAGCCATGTTGTGGAATATGAGAACCAGAAGTTACACTCCTTCCTTGGCCCTCCTGGAATGATTAATTCCAATCTTAAGGTATTCTTAAGTTTTAGTCTCTTCAAAAGAGTGTTTCCTTTCAAAGAACAACTAGGGTATATTTGATTATTTTTTCCAGAATATAAAATTTGCAGGAGATAATTGATTAAAAATGCCGAGTTTAATGGGACATCAAGGCATCTGATTTATGATTATTAGAAGCATGTTTCCTGCTCTATGTTTGGGACATGTAGACAAGTTGATGACATAATCTAATCTCCAGTCAATGCAATTTGGCAGCCTTGATAGTTACCGTTTAGTACATATATCCAGCATCTCTGAGCGCTACCTATATATTGAGCGTTACTATGATGATTATTGTTGGTGATATCAATTCCATTGATTTCATGATATACTGCAGGTTGACAACTGCAGAATTGATAGCATCAGTAAAATTGCTCGCTATGTGCTTGAAAACAATCATCTTGTTAAACCTGGGTGTTGTTTGAATTGTGGTACTGAGCGTGATTTGGAATCCTCGCATTCAGCAATCAATGAAGCTGACATATGTTTTAGAGGGTATGTCAACCATGAATCAAAACGTGGCAGCAGAATTAAAATTCTGAGTTATATACAGGCCTCCCGAGTCCAGCAAATTGGTCTATGACAAAATATGTTCGTATTTTACTCCCATGTACACATCTATATGGAGAATCACATGTTCACCTGCTGCATAGAAGTAAATTGGCATGTTTGTTCTCCTGAGAGTGTACACGATGCTTTTGTATACTGTATATATTTCATCCCATGGTGTAATGGATCTGTTCACATGCCTCTGTAGTTTGCAGGATGCATTTGCTTCCAGTGAGGTCCCTGTTAATGCGCTTCAGGATGCATTGAGGTCTCTTGACCTTCTTAGAAGAACAATTCACCCTCTCAACAAGAGACTAGCGGAGGTGAGTCGTATAATCAGCTCCCCCAAGCCTGACCAGAAAAGGTTGTCTGTGACCTAGCCCCTTTTTTGGGCGGTACATGAAGTCATCATCGGATTGCAATGCGAATTGTTATTTGCAATCTCAACTGGATTAGTTTTTAAGATTGATGAGTTGACCAATTCCGAGCTGATGTTTTCAGATGGAAGACTCCTTGGCACGGGCATTTTGTTTGGTTGGTAAGCTGCAAACTGCACTGGACCACTGTCAAAAATCTATTAAGGTATGAATTTGTTCAAGCAAGAAACATCTGTTACAAGTGTCTTTCTGTGATAATGGGTTTAAGTGTGGCCGTTCCTGGATGCATTAGAGTTTGGGGCTGTAGAATTATCTTTGCTAATAGACATGCATTAGTTTGATAAGCATATATTAGTGAGGCTAGTGGGCTAGGAATTTGCTGCCTGACTCTAGGCCAACCCAAGCCATGATCCTACACGCTGAAAAATTGATAGCCCCCCGAAAAAAAAAACTGTCACCATCTTCCTGTTGCCTAAGTAGTGTGTCAAATTCGTACTACCACTTCATTTTTAACTGAGAAAACTTTTTTAACAACGGTGATGATGCATGTGACATAGTTTGGAAATTGTTTCCAGAATTCCAAATGGGCATTCACCAAAAACATCTGAGGTTTATTTTGCAGCCAAATTTGGTTTAGCACAATACTTATGCAGCCATCTGAAAGTTAAGGTGCCTGATGAAGGATTCAGAATTTTTTTCCCCTGCAGATCTTGGAAAAGCTTTATGATCCTAATCACATTGCCATTGGAAATGAGTTGCTGAAACTTGCATCCATCCAACTTTCCTTGGAAGATTCTACTGCTTCAGACACCCTTAACCGAGTTGCCGCAATTTTTTTGCGCTATTATGGGTCACATGCGAATAAAATTTTTCCTTGTTTGCAACTTCTAAAGGAGGAAGCACTTAGAAATCAATAAATTCAGCCCCTATTCCGCAATTCACGTTTTGGCCATCAATTCCTAATGGTTTTGTAATCAAATGGCTGTATATCCCACGTGGTATTTTAAATTCTCATTTCCAGAACGAGATCACTATTGTGCTAAATCTCTTCAGTGCCTCGTGCATACCTTTCTTTCTTTACCTGCAGTTACGAACTCTGGCAATAGCCTATGATTTTATGGCTACCTTGCTTAGCATGTAGTCATGTAAATTTGAAGTTTGTACTCTGTAAATAATAGTGAAGCATGGACAAGAGCAAGTATGTTTTTGCCACTAAAGCCAATGAACTTGATATTCATTGTCAAGATTCTTAAACGATAAGATTACTTAAATCCTGGTAGACCGCAATATTGGATCCCCGAGGGCAATACAATGGCAAATCTACACTGAAATTCGGAGTCGATTCAATGCAGATGAAAGAAAAATGTGACTTGAAGGGTTAGCGATATCGATGAATGTGTAAGTTGTGATACAGGAGTCGAGGGAAAAAAAATAATTGCAACATGATTTTACATCAGATGATATATGGACTCCATTCAGCTCAATCAGCAAACTACAAATTTTTTGAGGTTTCTAATCGTACAAAATCTAGAAAAGCTCCTAAATTTATATGTAGAATACAACAAATCCAATTCTCAGCTGGTCAAACAATTTCAAGTATGACGCTACGGGGTACTTTACAGCCTAAAAAGCGGCAAAAAATGGTTCCTCCAACCACGAGGGGATGAGAAACATCAGTTGTGTTCCTAGATACACCACATTCAGGCATGAACCATGGAAAAGACCTTAACATTGAGTACGAGCCCAGACTTGTCACAGAAACTTCACCTCGTTCTGTTTGCCACCCTTGAATGCTGAAAGAGAGAAGAATGACCTTGTTGCTGAAAAACAAAGTAGCAAGCAAATTGGAATCTAAGGAGAATTAAGAGAGACATCACCATCACATACATAGACAGTCCTAGAAACTAGAGGTGGTAAAAGAAAGGGAAGAACAATAAAACAGAAAGACAGGAACCAACCTTTTGATGAAGTCACCGGAGCAGAAATATGTCCCTCCTGCAACTTCTCAGACAATCTATGACCAATGGTTTTGCTTATATTTGCTTGAGCTGGAAGATTTTTCATTGCCATTTAACAGCATCAGAAACCATAACAGGTAGAACTATATTATGCATGCCATGTATGGAGCTATATGTGGCACGGAACAAATGGAGTTGGAAAATGAAGAAAAATTGGATGATATCCGAGTTCCTATAGTTTTTAAAGACTCAGACTTTATATCACGGCTTCGCAAAAGATTAGTAAAATAAAGCTAAGAAGTATTGTTGAATGAGCTCATTTGAAAAAAAAGAAAATAAAAGAATAAAAATACCATGTGTCCCATGAGCAGCTAGGCTTTTGTCCCGTGACGAAGTGTTTTGATGTCCCAAATTTTTTGCATGAAGCGTTGCCTTCTTCAGTAAATTGTCAGAACTTCTTTTAGTAACTAATTTAGATTCGTCAGTATCATCCTCTCCTTCAGAAAAGACAGATGGACTAGAGCAGCCAGTTGAATTTGTGTCCGTTTTACTCTTTCGAGCAAATTTCAAAAGCCTCTTCAATCCCTTGGGGACATCTCTTTGGTAGACCATGGCAGGAGGATTCTCGGCATTGCCCCATTCAACAACATCAGGTTCACTGCTCTCCTCCAGCAGCATCTGAGACAGAGAGTGACGAACACGTGGACTGGGGATTCCAACTGGTGCAACACTGGATGGTGATTGAATTTGGCAAACATTGCCACTGAATGGAGCCGGTTGTTCCTCATGCTCTTCTATTTCCACCCAGGCTGTAGGAGGGATATCTGATTCTTCTGTAGCTTGAGCATTTAATGCAGCATCAGCATCAGTCAGGTTTTGAAAACCATCAAGTTCGGTAAAAGCAACCTCAACAGGAGTTTCCATTTCCTCATATTTCTCCTGGTTTACCTGACTGTTGAATTCCATGTCTGCATGATCTTTATTTACCTCGAGGTTCACTTCCTGTTGTTCAATGACCTGATCAGATGAGCTAGAAGCAATTTCATTCTCTTCAGCTTGATTAGCATCTCCTGTAACGATTAACGTGTCCTCAGGCGGAGGAGGTACTTTAGCCCTCGAGACTGGACTAACTCCAGAGCCTATCCCAGAATTCTTACGGAGAAAAGGCTTTGATTCAATAGGCACAACACTGCTTTTCTTGGTCACCTTGTTATAGAAGCTAGGCTTTGCTGAGGAAGCAGCATCCCTATCCATAGACTGAGGTTTTGGTTTTGCTGACTTGGTAATTTTTTTCAAAGCTTGCTGCTTTTCATTTGCATCTTTAACACCCTTGTTAGTGTCATTCTGGTTTGGTTTAACTGACTTTGGTTTGAGTTGTGATCTCTCTACTTTTGGGCTCAATCGAGGAACTGGTGGTGCTGGTTGTGATTTTCTACGGGTAGTGGTGCCAGCAGAAGTCGTCCCAGGAGGGGTTTTAGCTGGTGAGATACCTGTAGGTCTTGGTGATGCTGTAGTTGGCCATGATTTCCGTGTGGCAGGCAAAGGAGATGCTTTTGGTGAAGCTTTTTTAACAACAGAAGGTTTTGATATTTCCTTCTTGTGATTTGCCGGGGATGACGTCTTCTGTGATTTCTGGGGCTTCACATTATGTTTTCTACCAGCGTCACTCCCATTTGCAGATGCCATTTCGGCTTTCCTCTCATCAGGAATTTGTTGCATAACTCTAAATTGTTTTTCCTTCTCTGCTCGTTTTCCAGCAGTTTCTCCTCGGAGTTTCTCATTCCTCTTTTCCTTGTAGTGGTCATAGAAACCACCTCTCTGTTCACTTGGCAAGTTCTGGCTTTTTCTATTGGCAGGTGCTCCAGTTCGATATTTAACCGGCTTAGTTTCCATCATTTTCATTAGCAACTGGTTAAGTTCTGCTTCCTTCTGTCGACTCCATTCAGCTGAGTCCATTAAATTTTCACTAATTTCTGCTGTTTGACTACAGACAGCATTCTCCTGAATGCAAGCTGCATCAGGCAATCCTTGTTCAGGAGAGTCTGGCTTAATACCCAATTCAGCAGGCCGAACTGCATCATCCTCAGAAGGAAGATCATGCTCAGCTTTTTCTTCTGGCAACTCATTTGCGATTCCGGTGTTTTCCACACCATCTGAAGGTAAGGCAACAGCATTATCTGAGTTAGTACTTTGGGGATCTTCAGAAAAATTTTCACCTGCACCAGCACTCCATCTTCTCAATACAGATTTATTTGCACCAACCTTGACATTTAACAATGACTTTGTCTTCTGGATATCCACTGTTTGGTCTCTTTGCTTGCTTTCAAAAAGACTGATTGCATCTTGCACACTGATTCTATTTACATTACTCTCGGACCTTTTTGATGGTTGCTCAGATGCTTCCTCATCGCTACTCTCTGTAGCTGCATCTTTTTGACAGCTTAACCTTTCTCTAGGTAAATAATTGAGGCTTTTGATAGCCAATGCAGTGGATCTCCGGGATCCCGATCGTCCAATTTGAACCCTCCGCATTGGAGATGCAGATCTTCTAGGTGAAGCAGATCTTATAAGAGTCCGGCTTCTTTGAATGGATGGTTGCTCCTCATCACCTGAGCAAGACAATTCTCCACTTTCAGAGGAGCTCTCTCTCTCAATCTGTGCAGCTTTTGCTGGAGAAGCACTATACTTTACAGGAGTATCTGACTGTGGTTGGTTGCAGTTCTTATTATTCTCCTGCTTATTGTTGATTCTGTGCCTCTCTAAATTTCTTTTAGAAGAAAGCTGACTGCCACTTGGAATCTCATCTCGACTATTCTCTTCGCTCAACTCCAGGAGTTTGCACAAAGAATCCCTGGAATAAAGATGAGTACTTAATACATATTCTCAAATATCACATCACTAAGCAGCATGAATAAAAGCTTAAATACCTCAAGTCTGTGGCTCCAAAATGATGAGAGAACTTTTCCAAGTCATCCATCTCCTCATTGGAGCATGTAGCCCTAGCTGATTGGGCAAATGCAGTAGCTAATTCCCCTCTTAGGGCAGAAAGTCTCATATCTATAGCTTGCAGCAATTCATTTCTGTTTGACAATATGCATGTTAATAGACATGTTAGAAGCCAAACATATTCTCATTGAAAACTGAGAAGTTACAGAATGTACTTGGAATCATCTGATGACGGAGAGCTAATTCCAGCCTGTTGAGACACCATTGATTAGATCAGCTACCATGTACAAAATATATTCAGGCTTCTCAATTAAAACTTGAATAAAGAACACAGTGAATGGAAGAGAACCATTACTTTCGGGATTGATGCATTGTTGTTGGAAGAATTGCCTGTCAAAAACAGGAACTGTTATTTAGTGTCTGGTAGAATTAGGATGAAGTTGTGGGTGAGAGGAGGTCAGGAGATACAAATAGCACTTTCTCATCCACCATGATACCAATAAGGCAGGAAGAGCATATTATCAACATTGAAGACATAATATTGGAAAGCCATATCAAAGTATTCAACCCAGAGGATTGAATAGAACCCATCTAAATGTTACACTAGCTCATTGAGGCGCCCAGGCAACTGCTGCCTCAGGGCAAGCTCCTACCACTGCTTTGTGAACAGTTGGTGTAGACATCAAAGCTAAGCTGAAAGTAATTGTTATTTCCAATAGCATAAAACTAGCATATTCAATTATGTAATAAGAAGCAAGGCTCAAGGTTTGGTCATTGGTGGGCTTTAAACATCAGAAAACGAGACCATGGTAAAATAAAACCCTGAAAGTCCCTACACCCAAATCCAATTCAGTCTGGGACACAGCAACCCATTGAGCTTTCAAAACCGCAAAGAAAGACGTAATGAACAAAACTAACCTGCATTCCCAGTCTCAAGATGATTTTGAGGACCCTGAAAAGGAACAAACATTATTGTTCTGAAAACAAGCTCCAGAGATTAGTTTCACTGATGGAAACAAAATACCTTTGAATACAATGAAAGGTGAAATTTCCGGGCCTCCTCTAGCTGAGATATCTCATCTTTTACAGTATCAGTTGCGTATGTTACTTCTGATGAACCAATAACTTGCAAGAATCTGACAATGTACAAGTCATAGTAAATGAAAAGGAGCACATCCTTCGTTTTTCCCTAAGAAAGCAGAAATGAAGCTCAAAATACTAGCGGTTATGAACCTCATTAATGTGGACTTTCTGAACCATCTGGAAGAATTACGATCTTCAGGTGCTATGAGTTTATATTTGGCATCAAATCCTTCTGAATGCAATGCTTTGATAGTAGCGGAATGCAGCAACAGTGGCTCAAGAATTGCAGATGTTACTGTTTCTATTTTTTTCCCCCGGCATACGCATGCCTCGTACCTGTAAAAGTTTATCCAAGTAAAAAACAGAGCCAAGGAATTTCACTCTATAGAAAACCTTGCTTTATCCCAAAAGCTAAGTTAATATATCATCATTATATAGCTCATTAGTCCTAGTAGAAGATTCATCAAGCATTTAATTCTCTGACTATGCAGTGGAATATGTATTGAAGATAACTGTTATACCATGTCCAGAAGCATCAGTGCCCAGAGACTAGAGAATGAAGGAAAAAAGAAATTGTTCAGAAGTAATGGCAGAAAAAGATTTGTATTGCAAATTAATGGATCCATTCATTACACTAGTTGGTTTTGGTTTCTGTTCAGTCTATCGTGCACAAATATTATAATCTTATCAGACATTATTCGCAGTCTCCATTTGCTTCACCAGAGACAAATATAATTTTCTAAGCTTGGTTTCAATGAATGATGGTATAAACCCATCCCTTTGCCTCTTTTGAATTTAAAATATAAATATCTGCTGCTACCAATTTATTTGTCCTAAATATTCTACACCAGACTCATAAATACTCTGAAATAAAAAAATCACCTTGACAGTCCTAACTAGCATAAGATCATCATGAATTTCAAAAACAATAAGCCAGCAAACATTGATAATAAAAGCTCTAGAACAAGGTCATTCTCATCCAAGGACAAAAATGCCCTCCAATAAAATAAGCGATCAGAAAGTGATCAAATTGTACCTGTTCTGGCTTGGGAAAATCTGAAATTCAATGTAATCAAGCAGGATATTGGCATCTACCCCTTTCTCCATCTTAGCCGGGTTAAATCAGATGCCCAAGAACCTGACGGAAGGAAGGAGGAAAAAGAACAATTCATAAAGATTAGATTTGGAAACCACTAGATTATCCTCCTCTCAGTTGACTCTTTAAATAAGCGTGCACATAGATAAAATACACAAACCTGGAATCAGGAGAATAGCTAAGCATTCAGCAACCCCAACCTTACCTCCATCGCACTAAAGTACAATATACAAAGACCATTACCAAACAATTTCACTGCATGAAAGTAACTCAAACAGAGACCAGTGAGAAGTGAGAAGGAAGAAAAGTAATACTCTAATGCATTATCAAAGCAAGAAACAGCAGAAACTAAGCTCCCAAAAATAAATGTTAAGTTTTTTTTTAATATTTTAAAATTTGTAATCTACCAGCAATACCCGAACATATATTTATACGGGGAAATATCAGTCAAATTAGTGAATTATTTCTTTTTCTTTACACATTCAGTCATTCATCAGTAAAATGAGTAGATATATTAGCAAGAAAATGCGATTGATAAACAAATGGTAGCAAAAACCACGAATGAAGATCAGATCTAGCTTCAGGAAAAAACCAAACTTTATCAGGAAACAGCAAACATCGTGCGAACCCACCGACAGAAAAGTCGCAGTTTTTAAGCTAAATGTGAAGGCAATAGCAAAAGGTCAAATCTCAAGCATGGGATTGAACTCGTCATATATTTTCCACATGCACCTTCGAGTACTACAACAAACTAATGAAAGCAGCCACATCCCAGATGATAAAATATAAGGAGGGGAAAAAAAAAAAAAAGAGAGAGTGAAGACTTACTACAGTTGGAGATCAACAGTAAAGCTCGGAATGAAAAAAGAAAAAACAAAAGGAGAAATGAGACTGCGAAGGAGGAGGCCGAGGAGGTAGCTTCTGTTGTTGGTGCAGGAGATCTCAAATGGATGAATGGAGATTTCAAATCTTTAACCAAAAAGTGTTTGTACTGTGGATTAAATATAATACTAACGGAGATGGAAGGGAAGGGAGACTGAAGAGTGGAGTGACTGTGTGAGGGAGTGTAATGTGAGGGGAGAAAGGAAGGGGGAAAAAGATTTAACCCAAAAAAAAAAAAAGGAAACACCTTGGAGTGTGTGAGAGAGAAAGACAGGAAAAGGAGAAAAGCGCAGAGAGAGAGAGAGAGTGGTCGGAGAATTGGTAGCGTGAATGAGAATTTAACAACAAAGGCCAAAAAAAAAAAAAAAGGGACCACCGTTTTTATGATCAAATCCTTCTAGTGTTTGTTGCACCCAACAACCGGAGGCGCGTCATGTGTTTTCTTTTTCCTTTTCTTCTTTGTCCGTTAATTTGCTCATAAGGGTTGTACGAAGTAAATAAATGTATTCTTATTATTTTCGTTTGTTCTGAACTTTGCAAATTAAAAAAAAATTCAAATAAACAACTCTTTCAAATTTTTAATCTTCTAGTGATTAAAGAAGCATATAATTGTAAGATAAAAATTTGTACGAAAACTTTAAAAAAATTAATAATCCAAAATCAAAACCTAATGAGAACGAACACTTAATGCTAGAATTTGTTTAATTAATGACGGCGAGAGTTGGTGTCAAGCTCAGAACTAAATAGGTCAGCAGCCCGGAATAGCGCATTCCTAATCACCTGCAACAACTACAAGATGAAGTAGTAGTATTGTGCTTGGATTGCATTTTTTAGGATTTTTTATAGAAAAATTACTGTAACGATTTGATGTACGTGAAAAAAAAAGGTAATAGAAAAATATTATCACGGAAAACGACGCAATTTTTCGACTGAAAATGGCTACCCAAGCAAGGCCACGATGCTTAGTTAATCCCACAAACAAAAATGAACAGCCTAGAGTAGTCGTCTACCTCTTCAATCAGCCTCCAATTACCCCTTACTAGGAATCTGTATTCGTTGAAAAATATATTATAACGATTTGGTATGTTTAAAATGAAAAATAATTTAAAAAAAATACTTTTAATTTGCAATCAAAGCAAGGCAAATTATTCTCAGTCCTTTATTCTATTATCCCAAAAAAAAGGCTTTTTTTTTTCCTTTTTTGTGCGACTTTTTATTCTCGATTTGTTTTTGGAGAACTAAAATTTATCCTCATTGCAAACCCTTTTTTTTTTTTGGGGGGATGTCGGTGGGTCGCTAATGCATGCTTAGCATGGTGGATTACATGATAATACAGCTACAGCGCTGATGTTTTGGGTATGGAGTGAAAATTGACCAGATTAATCAGAGGTGCGTCTCTCTCACTATGAGAGCCCTTTTCTCTCTACTCTAGAGAGGGAACTCTCCCCCCTGTGGGAGTCGTGCTTCGTTACCAACTTTTCAAAAAATTTCGCATCTCAAAATAACAGATCTTCTTCATCGAATCGTCTTTCCTTTTTTGGCATCCTTTCCGTTTTGGTCACTTCTAATCTATCATTCTTCTGTAGCATTAGTCCTTCCTTTTCAGTTGATAGCCATATAATTCATTAGTCTGTTTGCCGGTGGTTTTTTTCACTTTCGCCGTGGAGATTTCCTCTTTACATTTGGTCTTTGTGTCTTCTGTTTGTCTGGTGTTTTTTCAGGTTTTCAGCTCGATCGATCTAGGGGAATAGCTGTGTGGTAGGAGGCGAGGCTTGGAAGGGTGGAAAACGGTGACGGTTTCTGGAGCTGAGCTGGCTCTGCAACAATCTGGAATTGGTGGCAGGGTGGACTGTGGAATCTTCGAAGATGGAGCACATTGAAGAGGTAATGAGGAAATTTACTTTATCTGAGAATGAGAGGGAGGGAGTTTTCTTGGGAAATGAGGATTTGGAAAAAGGCGTAAAGGAGTGCAGATTGAGTCTGATAGGGAGAGTTTGGGGGGAAAAAACTGCTAATATATCTGGCATGAGGAGTTTTGCTACTAATGTGTGGCCTCAGTTGAAAAACATAAAAATTACTGAGATTAAGGTAAATATGTTTCAGTTTGTTTTTGAGTCCAGGAAGGATATAGACATAGTGCTTAGCAAAAGACCTTGGATCTACGATGGTCAGCCTCTGGTTTTACTGGAATGGCAGGTGGATTTAGAGGAGAAGGAGAAGGAGTTTAGTAGGACTTTAGTGTGGGTCCAAATCTGGAATCTACCACTTCATTGGGTAACCAAGGAAGCTGGGCGTAAAATAGGTGGAATATTTGCAGGAGTAAGGGAGGTCATTGTTCCTCAGGGAGGGGGTAAGGAAGGCAAACACCTTAAAATTTTAGCTGATATAAACCTTAAGGAGCCTCTGCCTAGAGGTACTATGGTAAAAAGTAATGGAGGAACTAGATGGATTGAATTTAAGTATGAAAAATGCCCTGATTTTTGCTTCTGTTGTGGCTTGATTGGGCATAATGAGCGTATTTGTAATAGGAAAGAGGTTAAAGTGGATAGGGAGAACCAGTATGGCAACTGGCTTCGAGCCAGTTTTCCTAGGAGTCCAAGGAGGAAAGGCAGGAATGAGGGGGATCAGGGATCATCAGGGAATGAGAGGTATAGAGATCAGAGTTCAGATGGGGAAACAGGGGGTCTGCTGTATCCTTTGCTCACCTATACTAAAGAATTTCATAGGGGACAGGGGAATCCAGATTTTAAACCCAACGAGAAGGAGAATTGGGGAACAACAGTTAGGGGGGGCCAAGGAGACGAGTGGAGTGGGGGGCAGCAGGGAGAGGGGAATGGTAAGGTTGTGGTAGGAGGGCAAAGGGGTGTGCATGGAGGGCAGGTTCCTGAGATGGTAAAGGAGGTGGTGGAAGTAGTTACGGGAGGGGACTCGCTGATACTCAAGGCAGAGGATGAAGGGAGTGTAGAGGGGGGAGGGAATGGTAAGGTCAAGAAGTGGGTTGATAGTGAGAACAACCACTGTGTGCACGAGGGTGGGTGTGTGAAGGTGGGGGATAAGGTTGGGAGGGGAGATCAGAAGGAAGGCCAGGATTATAAAGCTAGCAAAGGGAAGCATAGGGTCAGCAAGACCTGGAAAAGGCTGGTGCAAGAGGTGAGTAAAAGGAAGCCTCTGTCTGAGATTGCAGTTGTACAGAATGACACGAAGATAAGGAAGAGAAGACAGGGAATAGGTGGGGGTGAGCTGGACAGGAATCAGAGGGAGGATGAGGGTAAGAAGAAAGCCAGGCTGGATGCAGGGATTGAGGATGAGGTGATGTTGACTGAGGTGGTGGAGTCCTCCCTTAATGGGGCTCCCACCCCTCAATGAGAGTTCTGGTGTGGAACTGTCGAGGTGTGGGGAGCCCCTTGACAGTTCCCCAACTTAAGGAACTGGTACATGTCCACTCTCCATCTCTGATATTCTTATCAGAGACAAAAAAGAAAAAGACCTTTATAAATAGTGTTAAGCAATGGGTAAGGTTTGATGAGCTGTTTGTAGTAGACCCTGTGGGGATTGCAGGTGGTTTAGCTGTAATTTGGAAGAGGGATATTCAGGTGAAAAGTATTCTGTTTACTAGTTTTACTATAGAATTACTTATAGGGGATCAGGGAGGTGGTAGGGATTGGTGGTGTGTGTGTGCCTACACCAGTTCAGATGATAGGATTAGGGAGCAGCAATGGAGGGTGCTAGAGAGGAGAACGCAGGTTTGGGGTGATTGCTGGGCATTAATGGGAGACTTGAATGACATCACATCTAATGGGGAGAAGTGGGGGGGTAGAATCAGGCCTGCCAGCAGTTTTGACTGTTTCACTGGTTTCATTAATAGGACTGGTCTGATAGATATTGGTTTTGAGGGAGTGCCGTGGACCTGGTGTAATAATAGGGACAATGAAGGATTGATTAAGGAAAGGATTGATAGAGTGATGGGTACTAAGCAGTGGTGTGGAAACTTTGAAAAGGCTAAAGTTACTCATACTGAAACTGAAGCCTCTGATCATTGTGCCTTGGTCCTAGATTTGACTCCTGTAGACGTACCAAGGAAGAAGAGATTTGTCTTTGATAAGAGGTGGATTATGCAGGAGGGGGTTGGGGAGGTGATCAAGGAGGCATGGGGGAAGGAGCAGCAGGGGTCTAGGTTGTATAGAATGAAGAACAAAATTAAGCAAGTTCGTATGAATCTTCTGCATTGGAGCAAACAACTTAATCTGAACTCAAAGAAGCAGATAGAGCAGATCAAAAAGGAAATTAAAGAGGTAAGGGAAAGTCAGGACAGAGAGGATAGAACAAAGCTTATAGGACTAAAGAGGAAGCTGGTGGAGGCTTACAAGAGAGAGGAGGTGTATTGGAGTCAGAAGGCAAGAGTCAAATGGCTCCAAGAGGGTGACAAAAACACTAGCTTTTTCCATGCTAGTGTTATGAGTAGGAGGAAGCAGAATAGGATTAATGGGCTGAAAAGGAGAAGTGGGGAGTGGTGTAGGAATGAGGAGGAGGTGAGGGAGGAAATAGTGGACTATTTCCAGCAGTTATTCACTTCTGATGATCCAACTGACTTCAGTGCTATTTTGGAGGAGATTCCACAGTCTATAACCGCAGAAATGAACAGAAAGTTGACAAGGCCAGTCTCGGACCAAGAAATCAGTCATGCTGTTAATTCCATGCATCCAAGTAAGTCTCCTGGTCCAGATGGTATGCCCCCTATCTTTTTTCAAAAATTTTGGCATGTTGTCAAAAGTGATGTTATTAGTGCAGTTCAAAGCTTTTTTCATTCTGGTCATATCCTAAAGTCTATCAATGAGACTTTGATTACCCTTATCCCTAAAATTGATTCACCTAATCTGATTACTGAGTTTAGACCTATCAGTTTGTGTAATGTCACTTACAAGATTATCTCAAAAGTTCTTGTCAATAGATTTAAAACTGTGCTAGACTGCTGCATTAGCCCCTCTCAGTCTGCCTTTGTGCCTAACAGGCAGATTCTGGATAATGTAATAGTGGCACATGAGAGTATTCATTTCTTAAATAATAGGAGAACTGGCAAAGATGGTTATATGGCTGTCAAGTTTGATATGTCTAAGGCTTATGATAGGGTTGAGTGGGTGTTTTTGGATAAGATGATGCAAAAAATGGGGTTCTGTCCAGTTTGGATTCAGTGG